GCCTCTCTTCAGCATTCCACGCTCCAAGTGCTTATGTGGAATACAACACAGGTTTTAGGCTTGTAACCTACAGTCACATCTAAGCCACAAGGCTGCAGATACTCTATAAAACGCAATCTGACATATCGGTTACTGCCAACACAGGGAGACGGGCCAAACCATTTATTTAAATCAAAATCTAGGGAGAGCATTTAGGCATCCATCAGTCAACAGTAAGACAAATTGACTGATAGTTAAACACTTAGAGGGGTGATTTGTATCCCTATCCAGCCTTATGCAGATTAACTACTCTTGATTGTGTCTTCAGAGAGCTCCTTTTTGCAATGGTACAGTTTATTATGAGGATTAGATCACATTTTATGGCAAATTAATTCAGTTCATCCCAAGGGGTTCACATACTCTCGTTTGCCACTGCATTTTCCCCTGCAGGAGACTGAAAACAGCCTCCCCTGAGATAGACTTTTTGGACTGAATCTGTAGCAACAGGAGTTACAAGTCTGGTATCAATTACTTGCTCAGGCTAGCAAGGCTCTGCCAGAGATGACGCTGTAGTGCGAATGGAGTTGCTGTGGGCAGTCTGTCAGTAACTGGGCAGAAACCGATAAATCCAGCATGGATATGGAGGTTGGTGTGGACACGGAGGAGGCCTCAGTACCACCTGACGAAGATGAACGAGATCCCAACAATAGGGGTCTCAGGCTCCAGATTACATGCATTGGTTCTTTCTGGGGATACTGTGTAAACACCAAACAGACCCACTACAGAAGTATGGGATGAAGTCACACATGGCATGACTTCTATTTAGGAAAGATACACTCACTGGCCACTTTATTAGGTACATCTTGCTAGTACCGGGTTGGACCCCCTTTTGCCTTCAAGAACTGCCTTCTTTGTGGCATAGATTCAACAGTGTTGGAAACATTCCCCAGATTTCGGTCCATATTGACATGATAGCATCATACCATTGCTGCAGATTTGTCAGCTGCACATCCATGATGCAAATCTCACGTTCCACCACATCCCATAGGTGCTCTATTAGATTGAGATTTGGTGACTGTGGTGGCCACTGGAGTACTTTGAACTCATGGTTGTGACGATCACGGCATCAGACTCCAGCCCTTCTCACAAAACTCGTGACCGAAGGACTAGCCAATCTAAAACCGTGTTGTCACGTGCGTAACAATGCCACGCCCAGCTGCACCCTGCACAAAGATTTTCCAGCTAATGGACCACAATCTGTGTACTTGCAGCCTGGGAGCGAATGTTACCGATTAGGGGTGCTTTCGGCTGAAACTTTTCAGCCACCGAAACTTCGGTGCATCCCTATTTCTGGAAGTAGCCATCAGAAGATGGGTACACTGTAGTCATACAGGGATGGACATGGTCAGCAACAATACTCAGGTAGGCCATAGCGTTTAAAATGATGCTCGATTGGTACCACGGGGCCCAAAATGTGCCTAGAAGATATCCTCCACACCATTACCAGCCTGAACCGTTGATACAAGGCAGGTTGTCAGTCGGGAGACAGGAACAGCTTTCACCCCATAACAGAAGTGTCCGAAGAACCTCATAGCATTATCAGCTATTTTGATGAAAACTACCAGGGGCGTGGATATTTTTTAAAAACTACCTTGTCCAAGAGACTAAATCAGGATCCCAATCTACTTACGATAAAAAAAAAAAATAAATAATTTTAACCAAAACAGTGTTTAAATCTGAGGTGCTTTTAGGAATGTCTGGGGCTTTTAAAACAAAAGGGGTTATGGCGACTTAGACTTAATGTTTTTAACATTGCGCTGTTTATCTCCTACTCGCTTCCCTGAGTCTCCAGAACTGCACCCAGGGACTAGCAAGGTGGGGAGACACCTTGCAGGGTGACTAGCATCAATAGGGTGCTAGTCAGGAAAGGGGAGTGTCTGGCTCTCTTAACGCTCAGCAGAAGCATATCTGCTGAGCCAGTAAATGAGGCACCGGCCCCGGGAGGAGAAAAAAAAACAAAACATCTTCACCTTCATCTTCCTTGCACACGGAAGCACTTCGATGCTCAGTACAAGAGCATGCTGAGCATCGAAATCAAGCTCTGGTGTCCACTCCATTAAATGACTTCACCTTTACAGAAAAATAAATGCACCGTTTTTGCAGGTTAAAAAAACCCGCAATAAAATTACCCAATTTTTCTGTAAAGTATAAAAAGATTAGGTTGCCACACATGCACCAGAAAAATGGTGACAATCTTCAGTACCCTATATTTTCTATAGGAGAGTCTTTAAAAGCCCCCTATAGGTCATCAGTTTAGTGTTACAGAGGTGGTCTGGTGCTAGAATTATTGCTCTCAATATGGTGTGCATGGCGATATATAACATGCATGGGCATCCTGATGCATGTGTGTGTGTGTGGGGAGGCGTGAGTGCCTCAAATTTTTGGGCGGAGGATTTTATGTGCTTCGGTGTAACTTTAATTTTTAACAATTGATAAAAAAAAATTTTTTTTACTTTTTCCATCACGCGGGACAAAAAAATCCCATGTGACAATTTTTTGGTGACAGGTTCTCTCTAAGAGACACTGCATGTCACTGCATTACATTCTCAGTCTTAATCAAAGAGTTAAAGGTCAACAGTCTGTGAAACAAAATAAAAAGGGAAGAAACCTGGCCTTTTTATAGCGCTAAAAACCAAAAACACTGGTTTATACTCCGCTGCAACTGGGGAATGATTCCAGAGCTGAATTTCTGAGCCACCGTCTGGTCCCTTGGTGCCAAATGAACTGGTCTGTCCAGGAATTTTGTGGACTTGTCTTAGAAAAACAGCTGATTTCTTATGGTTTAGGATTTATTCAAAACGCTGTAATGTCTGGACAGTCAAAGCCACTTAACCAACAGAGTCCACACTGAATGCTCCCCCAACAGGAAGTTGTTCAAGTTTTCCATAATGGGTATACCACAAAAGCACAGTAGGGCTAGTACTCTTGCTAGCATCTAGGTGAACATCCAGGGTAGAAAGGAGAGACCAAAGGGCATAGCCACAAAGGGATAATGTACAGATTCAACAGCAAAATGTAGGAAAAACTGATTCACTGGAAAAATGAGGACATATAGGTACGTGTCCATGATTTCCACATGAGTTTCCTTCGTGGTCTCTATGGTGCATTCCATGTGGAATTTCTGAGCTTGAACAAAGATGTTTGGGAATGATGAACAGGTTGGCGTAAAAGCCTTTAACCTTTTTTAGATCAACTGCCCGCAATGTATTGCAGAAGGGCAGCTCCAAAATGCACAGCAACGTACCTGTATGTTGCTGCCTTCATCTGGGTTCAGATAGATTTTTTCGTACAAAGCAGCACACATTACACACATTAACATTTGTTATGCACACACTTAACACCTTGAGCAACACTGGCTTGGAAGGGGTTAACATCTCGGGGTAACCAAGGTAAACATGTGCCTAGCACATATTAACGTGTGCTGCTTTTTACAAAAATATCCATTTGTTCCTTCTCCCTAACTGTGCAGGTAGAACATATTGTTCCCTCTGTACAGAGCCCTGTGTTTGTCAACACAGGGCTCTAGGCCATGATTGGACACACTTGATCAGCAGGTCCCAGCCATGAATCATTGTCAATGCCCAATCCTTCTAGTCAGTACACATACCTGAAGGAGTGCCCCTAATGGACACAAAACAAAAACCATTTCATTTACAAAATTACAACCCAGGCCTGAAGCCCTAATATATAAAACTGTAGCGCAACATTTTGGTTTCTTTGGTCTTATTTTTTTGCTTCTCGCTGGGTGAAGTAGGAAGTAGTTGACTTTCCAAAGAGTAATAAAGGAACCCCTAGTTCTACCCCCACCAGGTCCATCAATCTGTGGAACAGTGAGCAGAATGCACCAGAGCTCATCCATGATGCATCAAAGGTTATCTCCACCTTAATACCTAAAAAAAAAAAAAAAAAAAAAAAAAAAAAAAAAAAAAAAATTTCTCAACGGGCCCCTTAGAATCACTTGCCACCCACGTATTTTTGTGAACAAAACTGCACAGCCCCGAAAGCTGTGCAGCAACATAATGTATGCAATAAACTGCAGTCATTGATCAGCACGGCCATGTGACAATTCAGTCCAATGAGAGTGTCTCCTTACTTTTGGGACAAAAGAAAAAGACCCTCAATGGCCAGCTCTGTTCACAAGACTGTGCTAACCAATGACTGCGTGCCATTGCACACATTCTGCTGCTATACAGCTTCCAGGGCCGTTTTTGGACTTTACAAGTGAACAGGTTATTACACTAGCAGACATGGGCAGTGAATGATTCTAAGCAAATGGAGACAGGAGGAGAAGGGAGGCTGTTAGGAATTACCCAAAACACCCTTTAACGCATTTTTTGTTAACCACCTAGCAACAAAGCTATTCTCACCCAGAGAGAAAAACCTGTAGAATACACTTACTTCTTCCAACAAGATGACCAGTATCATTAATCCATAATTTAAGAAAAATGAACAGGCAGCTTTTTATTGCAGAAGAGACATGCTATAGCTCTACTGCAATAAGACACTTACCTTCCTGTTCGCAGTCTAATGAACTGCGCATGCACAGCATGGATCCCCATCACACACTGGCTGAGCCAGAATCCAAGGTGCATGCGTGAGACAATGTCAAAAAGGCCAATCAAGAGGCTTAAAACCCAGCACCCAGAAGTAGCCTGGGGAGAAGATGACAGTGAACAGTGAGGAATGTAACCATAGCATTGCTGGAAGGTGGAGGAAAGTATTTTTGGGTTTAGTTTCACTTTAATGGCTCCAAGAGAGCAAAAAAAAAAAAAAAAACATGAACATCCATGTGCATCCATAAGAGTGGCAACAGCCCAGATGCAACTGTGTGTCACAGATTTTGTGCACTGTTGTGCATCTGTTACACTCAAGACATTAGAAAACAGGACTGCATCAATACAAAACATTTGTATTTAATTCAAAATTATCTTAGATAATTATTACCTGTGGTCAATTTACGGTCAGTACCCTGGCTGGAATCTAGCAGTTTCTTCAAAAATTAACTCCTTCAGAGTCTCCTTGGGCAAGTCATCCAGCTCCATTTCAAACTTAAAGGGTGCCTCAGCTACAGGCTAAATTACAAAAAAATGTGTTACTTGTGGATCCCAATCACCAAAAGATAAAGATATTTTTGCAGGTCCTAAATGATAGTGTTACGGCAGGGGTCAAAACCATGCCACAATGAGTAGGGCTATCACTTCCAATTTGATACATATTTAAAAGGAGTCAGTCACAAAAGAAATATAGCAGCTGTGATAGTTGAATTGTTTAAAGTGATATTAAAAGGCTCGGGTTTACTTAAAAACAAATGTTAGAATAACCAGCTATGTGCAATGGTTAAGCACAGAGCAGTCCCGATCCTTCTCTTGTGGGGTCCCTCGCCGGAGTTCAGGGCTCCTCACAGGTTTTTTTTTTTATTCTAATACAAAGAATGCATTAAGGTTAAAGAAAACCTTTTGCCCTTAGAACCAAAGTGGAAGTAAAAGCTACTATAAGCCTGCTTAAAAAAGTTGCCTCTTCCATCTCATACCTATATGCTGCATACTGTAGATGTGTCACCCACCAGCTTTCATTGCCCCTCTGTTGTCCGTGCTCCTACCTCTTCCCTGCAGCAGCTGCTTGCTGATGCAGGGGAGCCGAAGCTTCACAATCATGTACCTGCACCGAAGCGGATTAAAGACAAAAAAAGTATTTACACAGATCTCTTTTACAAATCATATGCAGCGTAGGTATGAGGAGGCGGGAGGCAATGTTTTTAGGCAGACTTCTATTAGCCTATACTTCAACTTTAGGAACTTTCAATGTAATAGTTTGTAATACATCTGGTTTTACTTTACAGCATTTTAAAAGTTACAAAATTTTGGTAATCTAAAATAAGACACACAGAGGGTACCTAAATCTGTTTAGCTAAATGGCATAATAATTAGGGTTCAAATGCAACAAGAATTTGACCTCAGATTAAGGATGCCTTTAACCCTCCTATCATGTTAGTAAAAAATGACACCTATGTTATGGGTCACATTGACCTGTGCAGGACATACCACAATCTAATCAAATAAAACATGGATTTTAATGTTGCTCAACCTATCATTAATCAAGAAATGAATATTCAAGCAACTAAAAAAAAAAAAAAAAAAAAAAAAAAAAAAAAAAATGTACCTTTACTCGTTTTTTAGGACACTGTTAGGACTTCCAAAGGCAATCCAAATGTGGTGGTAGCTAACAGCCATTGTCAGGCCCCCAAGAAAAGACTGGAAACTGACTGCAAGCCAGAACCAAACAAAAGTCAATGCCAGAATCTAAACCAGAGGAGGTTAAGACCCACTGCAAAACGAGAAACTACTAAAGACTAAGGAAAGACCACAGATTATCAACTTTATGCTCAAAACAACAGGACTTGGGATATTACCACAAAAGGGAAATTACTCCAAAACATTAAGCCTGAACCAGCAAGAAGCTGTGTAATCAAAAGAAGTGGATCATAACTACCTGATTAAAAGGTAAGTACTCAACAAATTTAGTGGCAATTTTGCTGAGGTGAATTACTAATCTATCTACAGTGGGAACAGACCACTGGTTTACCAATTCCCTCGCAAAAGGAGAAGGTCCGACTCTCAGGTGCTTCCATTCTGTATAGATGTCTATATCAAACAGTGAAAAGGTATTTGCAGCTGTAGGATGCCTAAAAGCTCAAATGCCTATATCATAGATCTGACACAATACCCTGTCTATTGTAATGGGAGGAAACTGCAAGGGCTCAAAACAGCCTCTTCAGAGATAGATTCAGTCCTATCAGTCTGAGATGGTAAAAGGGACCACAGGCCCAGCTTTACATAAGGGCTCAGGAGGTGAGTGTGATTCTGTAGGGGATGGTGTCAAAGCATGCTTAGAGCCTCTGCAGACAGTGCCCCAGTAGCTGAGTGTAATGGAGCAGGACCCAGACCACACTTGGGTATTTCCGTTAGACTCCAGCTTCCCTGACCAAACGGCCACAGACACCACCCGCTGACAAAACAGGACGAGACACACCAGACTTGTATGAAAGACAGGAATTGGACTGCTTTATTTTAACATAGATACAAGATATATACACAGGGTGGGGAAATACAACCAGTAAAAGGAAACATCAGCAGGCCGTCCCATCAGGGGAAGGGCTGCCGTAAACACCCCCCACCAAGCCAATACAAACACATTAGAACAATGGGATACATTAGTAGACAATGGCAGTAGACAATACACAAACCCATACATCCCATAATAGTTTGCTCTCAAGCAAGCCACACAATAGAACACTGGGATGCAGCACTTGGCAGTGAACAATGGACAACCCCCACCCCCACACATCTACACAATATTAAGACAGATCACCCTGCACCCCTAACAGGCACAGGGTGGCTTACACATAAGAGGGATATGGGGAGCTGAGACAGGGGCCTCCCCACCTCTCCAAAGGGCGCTGTGTTCCATGGGCCTCCCACCCAAAGTCACTCCCGTCACACTGAGCACATACAGCTGGAATGTTCTGGACACATATCCCTGTGGACATAAGGGAGAACAGAGGCTCACTCAACAGAGTCAAGGAGGACTGATGACAACCCTGTAACAATGGATGTCTCACTTTCAAGATTACAGGTGTCTGTTCCTACTGGGTATACCAGGTAAATGCCCCTATATCCCACTAGGAGAGATGAGTTGGGGCCACCAATATCGTTGACAGTCTTCTCTAGGTACTAGCTGCTTCCATGTAGTGAAAACACCACACTAAGTATGAGGATACAAGGCCTCAGTTACTCTCAGAACCTGAGCAGTAGGTGCTGACCAGGATTAAGGCGGGCAGTGAAAACAGACCAGAGATCCACATGGTGCTTTAGGGAGCAGAAGCAGAATGGTGCTTCCACTAGGCTGAATAGTGGGAAAGAGTGCAGGTTGTCCATGCGTTGCTCCACCCAGTGGATGACATGAGCGCTTAGGTCTTGTGTTCTAACCTTTCTCGCACTGAAATGGTCAGCGGCAGGAATTTTTAAAGAAGCTCAGCAGTGTAAACAAAGAGGAAACTCCTAGTGCTTAAGCCCAGACAGCTTGTCAAGTAAATCTTTAGAGATGGGTCACACTTGGGGCTGTGCCACAGCTCTGGACCTGGAAAAAGCTTAGCGGTTAACCGTACACCCAGTTCTGTAAACAGCCACAATGCAACTCCGCAGTGTCACCCTGCACCATCAAGTCGAGTGGGGTCCATGTAAAGCTTCGAAAGCTATTGCTGAAGAAATGCAGCTCCAAATAGGGGCTTTATAATAAGAAATCTTGACTGGAGAAAAACAAAAAAAAAAAAGAAAAAGACTAGCAAAAAAACAGTTCAACCTTGCAGGAGATTGAAAAAAAATCTGTTTAGATCTTGTCCCTCAATGGACAATTAAAGTTTTTCTTTTTAGAGTAGATTTCTCTTTTTCCAGTCCGCAAGTTGGGCACGAGATAGGAGTGCAATTTGTACAGGTAGATCTGACACCTTGCAAGAGCCGATGAAGAGGTGGTATCAAGCGTATCAATCAGAACTCTCTTCACAATGGTAACAGCAGCAGATCATTGTAGTTGGGCCCATCCCTTGATCAGTGTATTAACCGTTTACTTTCATTTCACTTCTGGTTGATTTCTGTCCAGAGGACATAAGCAATATTTTCAGAAACATCAGCAATATTGTGGAAAATCACAAATACCCTTTGTTCAGTCATTCACTAGCAGCTTTACATTGTTCCAACCTTGTCAAGTCTGGCCACTTGTCCTTTGAAGGCATTGTAATTTAGGGTAATCTGAGGTTGAAAATCCTGGCAGTCTCTCAGAAATTAATCATTATGCATAGTGCTAATAAGGACGTTCTTTTCAGGGCAGTATGACCAGCTCAGTGAAAGCAAACCTAAAAGAATTCACAGATCTTCCCACCAAAGCCAGGGAGCTACTGCTTTCCCCCCCCCCCCCCCCCCCCATATTCCCCAACCTGGTCAGCTTTGTTTTGTCTTGTAGGATGTGAAGAACATCATACATTATAACTTTGCAGGGTCCTTTATGCATATCAAGCATCACTTGCATCTCCTGGATTTTTCAGCTGTACCACCTGGAGGATTTAGTAGCCGATACTGAGCGCTATTGGTATATAGCCAAATTAATAGTGACCAGTAAAGTATAAAAAGAAATTATCAAAGGATGGCAACAATGTTATCCAGAAAAATAAAAAGTATTATATTGTCTACTTGAAAGGAATTAAAACCATTGTTCATAGTCATAAGTCCAAAGTAAACGAAGGAAAAAGTGTGTGGTATAGCCCAAATGTGTGAATGTGGTAAAAAAATTGACTTACTGCTGAGTTAATGGGTAAATTCGGACCAGGGTGCAGGAGACGGTGGAGAGGAATCCTGTGGGCTGCTCTGCTTGAAGATAGGGCACAAACTGTGAGAAGGTAGCACTCTCAGAACAGGATGCTGCCTCAGATGTTCACGGAACTCATGCACCAGAAATGACGTCGGCGCGTGTCAGAAGTGACGTCAGTGAAGTGCAGAAACCGGCAGATAGACGCTGACAGATAGAGAAGCCAGAGTGCATGGGCGCGGACCACAACAAGACCTGGTTGCTATGACAACGCGTTTTGCACAGATATGTGCTTTGTCAAAGTCCAATTTTTCCTTTGTTTATATTGGACATATGACTATGAACAACGGTTTTAATTCCTTTCAAGTGGATAATAAAATCCCTTTTTATTCTGGATAACGTTTGTCATCATCCTTGCTAATTTAATACTGTAATGGTCACTAATAATTTGGCTCTATACCAATAGCGCTCATTATCAGCTACTGTTCTATTTACATATGTCTCCTATAGTTTCTTGAGCAGCTGTGATTATAGCCTTCACAAGCTACAAGACCTCATTTTTGGTTACCAGCACCCAAGAAGTTTGTCAATTTCTTTAACAGGATTTTCAGTACAGACATCCATTTTACCACCATAGCTAAAAAAGTTTGGCATCACAACATCTCCAAATTTTGATCCAATATCACCTTTGTTTATTAAAAAGGAAGTCCTGTCAAATACGAACTATACAAAACCTGCTCCCACCCCCATCGTAAGCCTATTCTTACTAACTTTGTAGAGCACATGTATCAAGCACAATGCCCACGGGCTGAATCAGGCCCACCAGGCCATTTCATGTGGCCCATGCACCTCTCCTGCAGCTGCTACACCCCTCTCATCTCCGACCCACTTTGTTTCAGGAATCTACAGCAGAAAGGAAGACAGAACTCCTACAGATCCTGCGCCTCTGTGCAGCCACAGAACCCCCTCATTTCTGTCTGCCCTGGTTTCAGCATTTAGCAAACTCTGGCAGCTGATTTCAGCCCTCCTCTCGTCGTCCTCCATGCCCTGCCCTGCTTCCCAGCTCCACCCCCATCTTATTCCCCGTAGTATCACAAGGTAAGAGGGGTGTGCTGTGATTTAAGGGAGGGTGGCGGACTCTTGATATCTGATGTAAGGTGGGGGTGATGAGATCTGTACAACTGCTTAAAATTATGAGAATACAATTCTATACCAATTGAAACAGGGTCACACACTGCCAGAAACCTTATAGGAGACTGTTTAGACAGAACTCCAAGGAAGAACCATGTTTTGTCTGAGCAGTCTCCAATAAAGTTTCTCGAGGGCATGACGCTGAGTCCCCAATGAAATTGAATTTGACACCCTTGCTGTAGAAGAAAGATGTCTATACATACAGTTGTGTTCAAAATAATAGCAGTGTGTTGCTTGCGCAACCATGCTTCACTGTCTTCACAGTGTACTGTGGCTTGAATTCAGTGTTTGGGGGTCGTCTGACAAACTGTCTCCGGCCACTAGACCCAAAAAGAACAATCTTACTTTCATCAGTCCACAAAATGTTGCGCCATTTCTCTTTAGGCCAGTCAATGTGCTCTTTCGCAAATTGTAACCTCTTCAGCACATGTCTTTTTCAACAGTGGGACTTTGCGGGGGCTTCTTGCAGATAGCTTGGCTTCACATAGGCGTCTTCTAATTGTAACAGTACTCACAGGTAACTTTACACCTTCTTTGATCTTCCTGGAGCTGATTGTTGGCTGAGTCCTTGCCATTTTGGCTATTCTTCTATCGATTCGAATGATAGTTTTTCGCTTTCTTCCACGTCTTTCAGGTTTTGGTTGCCATTTTAAAACATTTGCGATCATTTTAGCTGAGCAGCCTATCATTTTCTGTACTGAACAATGTCTGGAACGACCCATTTTCCTCAGAATTTCAGAGAGAAATGCACTGTAACCAGCATGTATAACATTTGCTGCCTTCCTTCCTTAAATAAAGGCAATAATTGCCACCTGTTTTTCAAAGAATGAATGACCTCACTAATAGAACTCCACGCTGCTATTATTTTGAACATGCCCCTTTCAATTAGTGATTCAATTACACAGAATGTCATGACTGTTGGGTCTGTTGGATTTCTATTACTCTACTACACCTGCTAGTAAATTTGCCATGTAGAAATATCATTTCTACCAAAAAGTGATTGATCAGGTTAGTGATGTCTGACTGCTATTATTTTGAACACAACTGTACCTATTCTGAGGGTGTTCCAGTGTGGTCACATGATTGGCTCCCAGTACCGGCTTCAGTGTAGAGGAACAGCCGACAATGGTTGCCCAACAATAAGCCCATTATGGTGGTGTATAGAGCCAAAAATGTTAGAATTGTGTCGATGTCCCAATATTTATGGACCTGACTGTATGTGTGTCAAATTGACTTGCAAAATAGGAGGGTTAAAGCAGAGCTAAATTCAAAAGTTGAAGATTTTGTATCTTACAAAGAACATTTAGGGTTGTGCCTAAGCAGTACTCTAACAAATGGGTAAAAGATAAGCTACAGAGAGTCTACAGGCAATACTGTTCACTAGTCCTTAAAGCAGTAGTAAACTGTAAAAAAAAAACAAAAAAAAAAGCACACACAATTTAGTCCCCTGCAAGTTATTAGCATATTAAACATGACATTATGAAAGACTTACCTGTAAAATGGATCCCTCTACCAGTGCGCTGTCACCACTGACAAGGATGCCATCTTCCCCAGGTCTTCCTTCTGGGTCAGGGGGCTCTGGCTATTTAAATGGCCGAGCCGCGATGATGTTGCTCCCGCACATGCGCACGGGAGTCAACAAAAGTGGCACGGCACTCTGTATTGATGGCCTACTCAGTGTGCCCTAAATTCAGAGCGCAGTGCACATGCACCAGTGGCATTACTGTTTGCTACAGATAAGGTACGGTGCACGTTTAGGAGATAATCACTGTACCTACAGATCAGCCTTATTATGGACTTACCTGTAGGTACCAGTTAAAAAGCAGCGTTTACTACTGCTTTAGGCTCTCTGCTTTTTTATGGCCACAGCATACTATTCAAGTCAACTAAGATGTGTTTAACACATTTAATCTGCTTATAATGGAATATACAAGTTTAAACAAAGGTATAAAACATACAAATATTTATCAACTTCTAGAAACCTAAAAATACAAAAAGTCAATTAGGTTAAACACAAGCCATATCTAAATATATCCGTTTGAATTTACCCCTATAGCATACCTCATCACTTGGGTCATAATACTGTTCCAGATAAGGATGAGCAAGAGCTGCCTCTACTTCAATTCGTTTGTGTGGGTTGAAGGTCAACATTTTATCCAACAAATCAAGAGCTGAAACAAAAAATACAAAAAAACAAAAAAAAAAAAAAAAAAAGGGTGATTTTTTCACTACAAATTTGGACTTGATTCTTTGTATAACCTATTTTCACTGACTGAACTAAGTTGGCTTTTAAAATGTAACTGAAATGAAAGGTTATACTCTTACACTATTCTGTTATAATTTATGTACAAGGCAAAAAAAAAAAAAAAAGCTGGCATATTGGAAATGCAGATGCCTAATACAATTTTTGTTCCCAAGCTTATTTCATACTTTATACAGTAGATATTCTAATGTTTGAAACAAAGGACCACATTTTTTTCAAGCAAGGCAAGATGCACTTGTAAATACCTGGGGATTAATACTTTGACTAACTCAATATGTTGTTGAAACTAAACAGTCTGAATTCTCCTCAGCTGCTTACAGGAAGCTTTGTATTTTTAACAATTCATACTAGGCTGATTAGCAGAGGTGGAGAGGCAAGCAGATGATGTCACAACCTTAACACCAGCCAATCAGAGGAAGCTTTGTATTCATTGGTAAAATTACAGGGCTTCCTGTGAGTGGCTAACACTGCCTCAATTTTGTTCGGCCAGCAGACGAAAAGCTTCTGGAACACTACGCTGTATAATACATACAGTGCTCAGCATAAAAGGAGTAAACTCCAACAGATCTGTCAGAAAACCTTTACTTTCCTTTGAGAATCAAAATTTCTATGCAAAACTACTACAAAATACTCCCACAAAGCGGGCCACTGATTGCAAAAAAGATTTGTTAATTTGCACACACAAAAATTTTTTTCCTAACAAATTCATTCAAGACCATGTTGCAAAAATGAATACACCTCAATGAAAGTCTTAGGGGCAAAGCTAAATTTTAGACACCAAAATCCTAATTAACAAGAATTCAGTGAGTCTAATTATAAAAGGCCGTTACTTAAAGAAAACCCTTTCCCATTTCATGCTGTCAGCAATGGCACCACATGGAAGAGAAAGGCCTGAGAAAGAAAATAATTCCTTTACACAAGAATGGTGAAAGCTACAAGATGATCAAAGCTTTAGTTATTCGGAATACTGTAGCAAAAGTGATACAAACATTTAACAGACGGAACTGCAACCGTCTCACAGAGAACCACAGACGTTAACACAACAGGAGCGTCTTGATAAGAAGGGTTGAAGAAAATTGCCATGCAAGTTTACTGCAGTTAGCTAAAGTAGAAAGCCAAACTGGGGTGATTGTTTCCTGTGATACAATACGGTGTACACTGCAGAGAAATGACATGCATGGGTGTCGTCCACAAAGGAAGGAAGCCTCTCTGAAAGCCCATGCACAAAAAAAAAGCCCTCCTAGAAATTGCCAGGGCCCATGCTGAAAAAGAAGACTGCTCAGACTCAGTACTCTGGAGTGATGAGACCAAGATAAATGTTTTTGGAACGGATGGCTTCAAAACTGTATGGCGTTGCAAAGGTGAGTAGAAAGCAAAATGCATGGAGCCTACAGTGAAACACAGTGTTGGCAGTGTCCTTCTGTGGGGCTCCATGAGTGCTGGTGTCGGGCAGTTGCATTTCATGGATGGTATGAATACACAGATGTACTGTTCTATATTGAAAGAGAAGATGCTACCATCACTCCGTGCCCTTGGTCGTCATGCACTTTTCCAACAGGACAATTATCCAAAACACACATCTAAGGTCATTGTTGCATTTCTGAAGAACAGGGTGAAAGTGATTCAGTGGCCAAGTATGTCTCCTGATCTGAACCCAATAGAACACCTATGGGGAATTCTGAAGAGACAAGTTAAGCATCACTCTCCATCCAGCACCCAGGCTCTAAAAAAGAATGTTCTTGAAGAATGGAAAAAGATGTTGCAATAGGTCGCCAACTTGTTCATTCCATGCCTCGAAGACTTGGTGCTGTTCTTACAAATTATGGAGGTCATACAAAATAATAAATGTAGTATTTTTGGTTGTGGGGTGTAATCATTTCTGCATCAACTAATATGAGTAAAACTGATGATTTTGTAATTTACGTTATATTAACCTCATTAATTTAAAAATCTTACTTTTCAAAAGGGGTGTACTCATTTATGCCGAGCACTGTATGTAGCTGATCGTTCATACAGTATGATACAGCACTCACAGCAGCTGCATCACTTAAGCAGATAGTTTGTTTGGGCCAGCTAGCCCCAAACAAACTATTTGGAGTGAGTAACCAAAAACCTGGAGCTAGGTTTTAAATTCACAAAATAATTCCTTCAACGAAACAGGTAAGTTAGCCATAAACGACTCAACTGCATGATGAATATAGGGGGGGGGTGGGGAGGGGGGGGGGGAGAGATCATTCCACTACCCTACTGCCAGCTATTGTATTTAACAGCTGCAGCATATGCAGCTGCCAAAATAAAGTGGCATTGCCAAATCGGACAGCATCTCATGGAATGAAGTCACCATTTGCCCATAATTTCCCTGGTTGCTTGTATTGTCACCCACTGCTAGAAATTGGTTCACAGTTTTGTCCTATCCAACTTTAAACACTACAATTAACAGCATACAGTTTGCAAAGGGGTTTCTGCTTTTATGATCTGGTTGTCAGGCTGTGTATTAGTTGCCAAGACAACCCCTTCAGATCCTTGTTAAAAGCATGCTGTTTAGGGGGGGGAATAAAAAAATGTCTGTATATATACACGCACACACACACACATATTACACACACACGATTTTGCATTTCCAGGTAAGGGGCACGAGCGGCCTACCTGTGCCGCCATTCACGGCCGTGGATGTCAATCACCGGGTCCCAGCCAGTAATTACCCGCCGGCGCCCTTTGATTATTACCGGCAATCACCGATGGGGAGGAAGACTTTTTTCTTTATAAAAAGTCTTTCTCCCTGTCAGCTCGAGCACACTGCTCGGGATGGCTGTGCACTGCACAGCCAACCTGATCAGTGTACTTACAGTAAAAGCACACCCCCAGTCCCCTAGTAAAACACACTCCCAGCACATATACATATATATATACACACACACACACACACACACACACACATATATATATATTACACGCGCACGCACACACTCAAAAAACATTGAAGGAACACTTTCAAAAACAAATCAGATCTCAATGGGTAATGTGTTAGGAATATAAACATGCCCCATCGTTTCATGGAAAGCGCTAAATTCAAAGACACCCCGGAAATCAAAGTGAAAAAATGATGCAGCAGGATAGGTCCATTTTGCTGAAATGTCATTGCAGCAACTCAAAATGGTACTCAGTAGTTTGTATGGCCCTCACATGCTTGTATGCATGCCTGACAATGTCGAGGCATGCTCCTAATGAGACGGATGGTGTTTTGGGGTATTTCCTCCTAGATCTGGACCAGGGCATCACTGAGCTCCTGGACAGTGAGGAGCAACCTGGCAGTGTCAGATGAACCAAAACATGATATCCCAGAGGTGTTCTATTGGATTTAGGTCAGGCGAGTGTGGGGGTCATTCAATAGTATCGATTCCTTCATCCTCCAGGAACTGCCTGCATACTCTCACCACGAGACCAGGCATTGTCATGCACCAGGAGGAACACAAGATCCACTGCACCAGCGTAAGGTCTGACAATGGGTCCAAAAGATTTCATCCCGATACCTAATGGTTAGGGTGTGATTGTCTAGTCTGTAGAGGTCTGTGCTTTCCCTCCATGGATATGCCTCCCCAGACTATCACTGACCCACCACCAAAACGGTCATGGTGAACGATGTTACGGACAACATAACGTTCTCCACAGCTTCTCCAGACTCTTTCACGTGTGTCACATGTGCTCAGGGTGAACCTGCTCTCTTCTGTGAAAAGCACACGGCACCAGTGGTGGACCTGACAATTCTGGTGTTCAATGGCAAATGCCAATCGAGGTCTATGGTACCGGGCAGTAAGCACAGGGACCACTAGAGGACATCAGGCCCTCAGGTCACCCTCATTAACCACTTCACGTCTGGACACTTTTACCCCCTTCCTGTCCAGGCCAATTTTCAGCACTATCACACTTTGAATGACAATTGCGCGGTCAGGCAAAACTGTACCCATATGAATTTTTTAGCATTTTTTGGAGACAGATACAGCTTTTTTTGGTGGTATTTATTCACCACTGGGATTTTATTTTTTTTGCTATATAAATGAAGGTCCAAAAAAAATTTTTTTTTTTTTTTTTTAAAGTGTTTTTTTCTTATAAAATTTTGCAAATAGTATTTCATCATAAATCCTGGCCAAAATTTATTCAGCTATCTTTTTAGTAAAAAAAAAAAACTAAATTAGTTTATAACCAAAAATTATAATTAAAAAAAAATTTTTTTACATTATTTTATTTTTACATACTGTCACCCTAGCAGTACATTGTCACCATGGTGACACTGTGCTACTTGTGGGGGGTGATGATTTTTTTTTTTTTTTTTTTTACACTGATTGCTTTTACACCCATAAAGGCTGTAAAAGCAATAATTTCTCCTCTCTAGCTGCACTCTTGCAGTCATTGAGAAATACTCTGAGCTGTGATTGGTCACAGCTTGTCACATGGTACAAGGCTGTTGTGACTAGCCTTGTACCATGTGACCTCTGTGATCATTCACAGACGTCACACGTAGTAAGCAATGATGTCAGAAGTGACATACTGCTTACTACTCTGCATGTGATCACTGATTGGCCAATCAGTGATCACATGATCGGGACCTCGCACAGAGGTCCCGTACAACGATCGGTGTTCCACTGTGTCCGGAGGACACAGCGGACACTGGATCGCGGTGCTGTGAGCTCCCAGGGAGCACGCACAAGCAGGGGGTGGGGAGGCCGTTTATAAACAGCCACCCGCCCCTGCACTGCCACCGCCCGGCCGTTTATATACAACAATTCTGATTGTTTGATTGTTTCACACCAGTGGCCTGCTGGAGGTCATTTTGTAGGGCTCTGACAGTGCTCATCCTGTTCCTCCTTGCACAAAGGAGCAGATACCGGTCCTGTTGATGGGTTAAGGACCTTCTACGGCCCTGTCCAGCTCTCGTAGAGTAACTGCCTGTCTCCTGGAATCTTCTCCATGCTCTTGAGACTGTGCTGAGAGACACAGCAAGCCTTCTGGCAATGGCATGTATTAATCTGCCATTCTGGAGGAGTTGGATTGCCTGTGCAACCTCTGTAGCGTCCAGGTATTGCCTCATGCTACCAGTAATGACACTGACCCTAGCCAAATGCAAAAAAAATTGTGAAAAACAGAAATGAGTAGGGAAAAAAATGTCAGTGGTCTCCAGATGTAAAACCATTCCTGTTTTGGGGATCATCTCATTGTTCCCATCTATTGCTCCTGTTTATTTCATTAACACCAAAGTAGCTGAAACGGATTAACCACCCCCTTTGCTACTTGACTAGATCAATATCCCAGGGGTTTAATTGACTTTATGCTGATTAAAAGTGTTCCTTTTATTTTTTAGAGAAAAAAAAAAAACACAAACACACACCCCCTTCCTCTTGCTATCCATCTAACAGTACCTGTGCGTTTCTACTTTTAAAACAGTGGTAATGGGTCTGTCTAGAGCAGAGCTTTTTTTTTTTTAGGCAAGGCCCTTTTTAGAATTGTGCACAATCCCAGGTCACACCAGTCAGAGGACTTGTTTACCAGGAGATAAACAAGTTGGCAATTCCTAGATTTCTAACCCTGTAATATGATTTAAAAAATCAATTTACCTTTGGGGTCTGCATTTGGGAACAGCCTATTCCAGGGAACCTTATTTTTATGAGGGAGGGAAAGCAAGTAGTTTCTAGCTTTCAAATTTATTATACAGTTTAAATCCTCTTGAGAAGGAGATCCAAGAATGCCTGTAAATATAGGAACGTAAATATTAATACAAAATATGCATTTTTCATAATTAAAAACTACTTAAACATCTTTTGTGGTTGCTCTTACCAAGAATATGATTAAGCTGATCAAGATAATGTTTTCCTGGAAATATGGGCCTATTAGAAAGCATCTCTGCAAGAATGCAGCCGACAGACCAGATGTCAATTGATTTGGTATATCCCTAATGAAGAGAAAATTAAATACTGTTAGGAATGCTACATATTTTATGTGGAAGTATAAAACAAGCACCAAATTTGCCTGGTCAAAGAGTTTACAAAAGCAAAAGCGAATAAGGCTTGGAGAACAAAATAATGACTTAACAGCATAGCAGTTTACACTCCAAAGACAAGTGTTAAAGGGTTAACGAGGTAATTGGAATCTGCCTAAATTGCACGAATACAGGTGTGCATGCATGTATATGCATGTGAGATAGGACAGAAGATTGAAAGGTTCTTCAGGACGGGGACTGATATACAGTAGGTAAAGTGCTAAGCAAACCGTTGATGCTATGTAAATAACCAATAAACAGAAGGTTATTAATCAGTGATTAGCTGTGGCCAAATCACAGTTAAGCACAAAAAAAAAAAAAACCCTGAATGAATCGATGTCATTCAGGTAAATTCTTGCTTATAGCAAAGTAATTCTTTGCTACAAGCAAATTGTGTAAAAAAAAAAAAAAAAAAATACTGATCACTTCCCCAAAGTAGTACAATGTTACTATGGTAACATTGTACTACTTTGGTCATAGTGAAATATGAAAAAAAAATCTTAAAAAAGAATAAAATTTAATAAAAAATAAAAAAATATATATAATTTTTTTTTTTTCATACTGTCACCAGTCAGTGTCCCTGATTACTGCCATGCCAGTTATATGACGCTGTACTGCACTGGTGACAATATGTATAAAAAATAGTGAAACTAATTTTAATTTTCCGAAAAATTATGACAAAAGAAATACAACTTCAAAAAACTCGCCATGCCTCTTATGAAGTACGTCGGACTGTCTACTTTGCAAAAAGGGGTCATTTGGGGGATATCTGTACTGTTCTGACATTCTTGGACCTCAAGAAATTAGATTGGCTGTCAGTACTTCAGGATTGATCAATATTCAGATCTATACCATAGTTTGTGAACTCTATAACTTTCCTACAAACTAAAAAATACATCCTAATTTGGGTTATTTTCACCAAAGACATGTAGCAGAATACATCTCGGCCTAAATTTATGAAGTATTTATTTGCAAACTTTTATAACAGAAACAAAGACTTTTTTTTTCTTCAAAATTTTGGTCTTTTTTTGTTAATTTAGCAAAAAAATAAAAACCCCAGTGGTGATTAAATACCACCAAAAAAAATCTCTAGTTGTGTGAAGAAAATGATAACATTTTAGTTTGGGTACAATGTTGTATGGCCGCGCAATTGTCATTCAAAGTGTGAGAGCGCTGAAACCTGAAAACTGGCCTGGGCAGGAAGGTGTAAAATTGCCCGGTATTGAATTTGTTAAAAGTGTACCTGAACTCAAAAAGTGAAAGTATGACATCGATTTCCCAATTCCTCCTTAAAACTAAATAGCACGGCACCCTTGGGCCTTCAGTCTTGTAGGTGTATATGCAGTGTGAGATCAAAGGTGCTGTGCCCTCTGGCTGCCAGTGTCATGAATTTTGATGTAACTACTGTGCTTGATACTGTACTCCTTGCTGGAGATGTTATACCTCAGAACTTGCAGTGCAAGAATCTCTGCTTCATTCAATCTGTGAATCTGATTTCTGCACCTCTACTGTTTCTTTAGCATTCCCCAACCCCAGGTCATCAGGGGTGGAGCAACTTTGACACAAGGAGGAAAAGATGGCCAACTCCATACAGAGAGTGTGAGGAACAGGGCATGGCAAGCCAGTAATAGGAAAAAGATTGGTTGCAGAGACCTACAGACAATACTGGTTACTATTCTTGTTCCTGCTTGCCTTTTTTTGGGCACCGCTTCAATTTACATCTGCTTTAAAAGCTGTCCAATCACTGAAAGAAAACAAATCACAGCATATTATATATAGCTATCTACCTTGGAATTTAACATGATCTCTGGTGCCCGATACCAGCGAGTTGCAACATACTCTGTCAGGAAACCAGTGTGATCATGGTCTGGGTCTGCAACACGCGCCAATCCAAAATCACAGATCTATGTGGATACAAACAAGACAGAAAGGTAGTTTAATATAGAACACACATAACCAAAGATCATTTTAGTTAACAGTAATGTGAAGTATACTACTAAATTAAAAATATAAAAAATAAAAAAAACATGCAGATACTAACCCAGCTTATTTTCAACCATTTAGATCAAAAGTGGCAATTTTCACAGCTGGAGTTTCACATTTTCAGAACATTCTAAAATCAATGGAAAACTAGGGTATTTTTCACTGCTTTCAAGTGTACACAAATCGCCTTTTTTTTTACTAAACATATAAACTTAACTATAGGAATCTACACCTGGAGTCCTGCATCGGTTCATGTACCCAGGTATGTTTAGGTCCCAGAAGCTATACTATGTGGTACATACAAGAAAGCAAATTTGCAGCCAGTGGGCCGGTCTGACACTTCACTCAGGAAAGTCACATGACCAAACAGGTAAGGCATGGGGAGGTACCACCCTTAACCCAGTCACAACACAAATATGCTCTAATGCCGACTGTGATGTGTAAAGTTCTTTATGAAACTATTTTATGTGTACCAAGATCTGTGGCATTTGTTTCCATCATAATATGCTATATCACCATATAATAATTTGGACAGAATGGGTAGTAATTAAACTGTCTGACTGGGACAGGAAAGACCAAAAAACAGCAATACAAAATTGTAACAAACTCTAATTCTTCCTCATTCTGCTGTATTTTTGTTTGGAGAGATTTCCTATCACTTCCTGTCCTGACAAGATATGAGTAAAAATCTCTAAGGAGATAAGACACTGTAATAAATTCTTAGAGGCTGTAAACATTTTCCACTCCAAAGTCAAAAAAAGTTTGGTCTATAAAAGGAGACCTTAAGTTCACCAGTGTAAAAGGACTGAATGAAAATAATTCAGTCTTAAACAATTTTATATAACTGGCCAAGATATTCTCGAACGTTCTTTAAAGTGAAACGCCACAACTGGGAGAGTCTGCATAAACAATAAAAAAAAAATAAAATAAATATGGTATAGCAAGCACACACGTGGCAAAAGCCACAATCAGAATTCCTTTACCAGGGAACAGGATTTTATCCTTGTAGCTACAGTATAACATAAGTGCATACCTTCAGATCACAGGTAGTGTTTAGCAGCAAGTTTGATGGTTTAAGATCACGATGTAAAACATTGGCTGAATGAATGTACTTTAGCCCTCTCAGGATTTGGTAGAGAAAATAACAGATGTGGTCATTGCTAAGGTGTTGTGTCTTTAGGAGCTTGTACAGATCGGTCTCCATAAGGTCCTGAACGATGTATCTGGTAATGCTTATGTTAAGGCAGGTAAACACTTGAGAAACCAAGCTTTATTCGGTCATGCAACCTTCACATTTTTTGTGGTCTCTTTAGTACTGGGAGTACAAGCACCGCCGGTGGTTTACCAGGACAATGTCAGAGCTTGCACAAAAATAAATTTCCTATGCACAGGTGAAAGCCCTTCCCCAGAATAAAACTATGTCCTTTTCTCACCCCTCTGTCCCAATCCCCGACTGACTGAAAATTACTCCTGTGAATATGCCCTTTTTAGTTACCTAAAGCCACAGTCACATGATGCTGTAGTCATGAACCTTCTCTCTTCTGTATTTAGTTCCTGCCGGATCCTCTGAGTGCCCTTGCCCTGCCAGCGTGACACTGTTTGCCCAAAATGTGGCTTTAGAGAGCCACTTACCTTCAGCAAAAATGTGAATATTCATTCTTAAACTATATTTGTACGGGCTTACTCAAACCTTATTTAGCTTTTCTTTGAGAACTTTGGGGTGGTGAGGCTCAAAAAGACATGGGCTCTCCATTTCAGTAATGCGCTTGAGGGAAGCAAAGCCAAATAAACACGCATTTCTAAAACTTTCACTGGTAAATGAATGAATAAATACATTTCTGACTAAAAATGGCTGTTTCCTTTTAACGTGGGAATATTTTTCTCTGGCAATAGCTGTGAGGTTCTAGCGAAAAGTGGAACTCCAGAACAAATTGGAAAATGTTGGATACATCAAGAAACAACTTTTCAGGTATTTATTGCCATCTGTGAGTTAAACTAAACTGTGCTTTTCTGTTCCGATTATTAAGAAAATCACCTCAACAGAGACAGCCAGCAGTGAGTAAACTGTCCAAATAGGTTGTACGTTCTCTGCCTTCATGTGTTCCTCACATTAGTTAAATTTTCTGCAGCAAACATACCCCAACCTTTATGGAAATGATGCACGCTAATCACTGTCAAGCAAGGCCAAAGAGATACAGCTTCAGTGTCCAAACTACACAACCAGAGTGGCTGCATTTTCCTGGATATCAGTCCCAAGCGCAAAACGCAAGCTTAGAGGCTTGTAACAAGCCATTACAACAAAAGATCAGGACTCCAGACACTTGCTCCAGGTGCTCAATGAAAGGCATCGGTGGAGGGATCCCGTTTAAGGAACTCTGACAGCTTGAGGGATTAACCACTTGCCATCCTAAGCATTTACCCCCTCTACTGACCAGTACTCTCTTTGCTACTCGGCACTGCACTATTTCAACTGATAATTGCACGGTCATGCAATGCTGTACCCAAACCAAATTTACATCCTTTTTTTCCACACAAATACAGCATTTTTTTCGGTGGTATTTGATCACCTGTGCGCTCTTTATTTTTCGCACTAGAAACAAAAAAAAAAGACCGAAAATTCTGAAGAAAAACAATTTTTTTTTACTTTCAGCTATAAAAAATATATAGTAAACTCAAAGTTAGTAATAAAATTTAGGCCAAAATGTATTCTGCTACATGTTTTTGGTATATAAAAAAAAAAAAAAACAACCCTAAGTGTATATTGATTGCTTTGTGTGAAAGTTATAGCGTCTACTACTATGGTATAGATACAGCAAATTTACAGCATTTTTTTTTATTTTTGCTATACAGCGCTGCACTAGTTTAACTGAGAATTGCATTCATGCAATATGGTACATAAAATAAATTTACATCCTTTTTTCACACAAAGCTTTCTTTCGTTGGTATCTGATTAACTGTGCACTTTTTATTTTTGGCGCTAAACAAATTTTGAATTAAAAAAAAAAAGTCTTTTTTTTTTTTTTAAAGAAAAAAATATTTTTTTTCTCATTTCTGTCATAAAAAATATCCAAAAACTCAAATTGTCATAAATTTAGGCCAAAATGTATTCTGCTTACACGTTTTTGGCTAAAAAAAAAAAAAAATCCCAGTAAGTGTATATGGATTGCTTTGTATGCTATAATGGAATTTACACAGCTTTTACTGACTCCCATCACATTTCTTGAGGTGCTATAATACCAGGATAGTACAAACACCCCCAAATGACCTCTTTTCGGAAAGTAGACACCGTAAGATATCTGCTGAGAGACATATCGAGTCCATGGAAGATTTTTCTTTTTCCACAAATTTTTGGAAAATGACATACATTCATTTATTTTTTTTACACAAAGTTGTCATTTAAATTATATATCTCTCACACAAGCCATGGGTACATGTGGAATTACAACCCAAAATACATTCTGCTACTTCTACAGAGTATGGGGATACCACGTGAGACTTTTTGGGAGCCAATCCTACTTTGAAAGCCTGAAGGTGCGTAACTTCCTCATTTCACTTCCTCACTACCCATCACAGTTTTCGGAGGCCCTGAAATGCCAGGATAGCACCAAACCCCCCCCAAATGACCCCTTTTTGGAACACCCCAAGGAATTTAAAAAGAGGCATGGTATTTTTTTTCTCAAGGTTTTGAAAAAAAAAAAAAAAAAAATTATATTATATTATATTATATATATATATATATATATATATATATATATATATACACATATACATATACACACACACACACACACACACACATACACACACACATATATATATATATATATATATATATATTACAAGTTTTTGTTTGTTTTCTTCATTTTCCAAAAACTTGTGGCAACAAAGGAGACCTGCACAATACTCAATGCTTATCAATTCTTTGGGATGTCTATTCTGAAGGTGCTTATTGGATATTGGGGTCCTTTACTTGGCTAGACTGCCAAAAAGTCTCATATGTGGTACCCCCATACTCGGGAGAAGTAGCAGAATGTATTTTGGGGCGTAATTCTACATATACCCATGCCATGTGTGAGCAAAAAAATCAGAGACAATGTGTGTAAAAAAAATAAAATACTTTTTTTTGTCATATTCCCAAGAGCTTGTGGTTAAAAAAAAAAAAAAAATTCTATTGACTCAACATGCCTCTCAGCAAATAGTTTGGGGTGTCTACTTTCCAAAAAGGGGTCGTTATGGGGGTGGGGGAATTAGAAGATAAAGCCACACATTATTCACTCTTCTAACCACCTGAAGATCAAGCCTTCTCTGACACTGTGTTCCCATAAAAAAAAAAAAAAAAAAAAAGAAAAAGTATTTGCTAGGAAATTACTTTGAACCCCCAAATCTTTTTTTTAAAGCAGACACATTAGTGAATAAAATGGTGCGTGCTGCAATTTTTTTATGTCACATAGTACTAGCGCAGAGATTTTTCAAACACAGATTTTTTGCAAATTTTTTTTTAACTTTTAATGCACAAAAACACAATATATTGGGCAATTATTTGGTAATATATAAAAGATGGTGGTATGCCGAGTAAATGGATACCAAACATGACATGCTTTATAATTACGCATGCCCTGTAAAATGGCGACAAACTGCATACATTTTTAATACCCATAGACAACGATTTAAAAGCCTTTACAAGCTACCATTTTAGATCTACAGAGGTCTAGTGCTAGAACTACTGCCCTACCACACATGCATGGAGCAACCGCTGTTTACATATCGGCAGTCCCTTTCATGTTTTTTTGTTGAAGTTATTTTGATTTTCTAAAATTATTTTTACACTGTCCCTTTCATGTTTTTTTTTTTCATCACTTTTAATGCTACCAGAGGGAATGCAAATATCCCCTATAACTTCAGAGGGCATTGTCATATGCTTTCCCAATTTACAAATGGCGCCGTTTATATCCTGCGAAACTGAAGTGATGAAATGCTCGTAGCTTCCGATTTCTCAGACTATAGAGATGATTGGCACCATTCCGGTCTCCATTCAGCTCTATGGTCATCTGGCAGAAACACCGGCTGCATTCTCCCGAAGGAAGAAATCTCTGCCAGAAATAGTGTGTGGTATGCCCACTATTAGAATATACCGCCCTGCATCCACCCACTTTTAATGATGGCCACACATTAGGTTGCATGGTGCCACATGCACCAATTCCAAGATTGTACAAATGTCTAACTAGTGGCACGCTTGAATAAAAATTGTACACGTATAAGTGGTACCCCATATGGAAAAAGGATGATACCAAGTTCCAAACTATCTTGCCACTGCTCCCCATGTAGTCTGGGCATCCGGGGGGCTCCACGTGACTCTTTTCCCTCATAAATCCGAAACATATGTATAGACTGTTGCCCTCTCACAGGTCTTATACATCTTGACCCTGTATCTGGCACGCTTGCTGGGGAGAAATTGAACGGAAGGCAGCCAGAAAAATTAATGAGGGACTCATCAACGCAGATTTTTTGCTGGGGAGTAGAGACATCTGCAAATTTTTGGTTAAGGTGATTTAAGAGGGGCTGAATTTTGTGGAGCTGGTCAAATTCATGGTCACCTCGAGGACGACAGAGTGTGTTGTCTTTGAAATGCATAAAACACATTATACTCTCATATCTATGCCTGGCCATAGCAGCAGAGAACACAGGCATATGATGAATCGGGTCTGTGGCCCAATACAACAACCTCAATTTTTTTTTTTTTTTTTTTTTTTTTTAAAGTAATGCCCATGTTGATGGTAAGGCCCAAAAAAATTAAAATATGGAAACCGCAATGGGTTTCCATGCAAATGGTCTGGCAAGGTTTGAATTTGGGTTGGCAGCGATAAATTTTTGTGCATATAAATTACTTTGATCCACAATCAATGCATACAGATCTTCCATGAAAAACAGTTCCAAAAAATCAAGGGAAGAAGTTCAATTTGCTGTTTCCACCTGAATTCCGGGTTGGGCAGTGAATGGGGGAAGTACAGGTGCTGATTCTGCGAACACTGTGCTTTTGTGTGCAATGTATCAAGTGACAGTGACCAGACACTGCACTTACTGGGGGAGAGGTAAGCTTAGGGGCTAAACGCAGGTGCCGGGGCTGATCCCACTAACGCTGTGATTTTGGGGACACTAATGTGAACGCTTGTATAGTGCTGATCTGATCAAGGATATTGATCCGTTCAGTCACTATACTAGCAAT